GGCAGATCGATAGGCCTTCAGGCTGAGCAGAGGCTAGGCAGAGCCCAGGCCCACAGGCCTTGCTGTCGCTGGCCAGGGACCATGGAGCTCTATGCCTTCACCCTCAGTTCTCCTGGGCTTCTGGGCCCCTGGGGATACAGCTCAGGTTGTAACAGCCGGGGGGCAGGGGGGAATAAGGGCCTGTGGTGTGTCTGGAGATGAGGAAGATGCCCTGGGGCCGCCTCTCAGTACATCATGGTCTGAGACTGCCCACCAGGGGCCTAGCCTGGGCCCAGCTCAGCCATAAGTGGCCCTCAGAGCTCCATGCCATGGCCCATGGCCACAGAGCATTTGCAGGGGCTAGAAGGTCAAGCAGTCGGAGCTGGCCTGGCCTCCCACCTTAGAGAGGGGCTCTGGATAGATGTCCCAGAAGAGGGGTAGGAAAGCTCTTCTCACTCAGCTCTCAGTGCCTCAGCTTCCCGAGAAGCCTACAGAAGAAACTCATAAATTAGGGACGGCTGTCTGCTGTATTGGGACTGGAGGTGAACAGGGCCAAAGAAGCTGGAGCTGCTGGTCAGTGCACACTTCATCACAAGGGTGTGGAGGAAGGCGGGGAGTCAGAGGGTGCTGACCCATTACAGCACTTCACGAGTAGGCTGAGCTCATCAGCTCAGGGCCTCAGTCCCCAGACATGTCTGAAGACTGAGGCCACACCTGTCCTCCACAGTGGAACAGTCCTTAGAGGTAGCCATGGCTTCCAAATTTCTCACTTGATGGAAAAGAAGGCTGCAAACCCCAGAGGAAGGGAGTGGAGGGAAGGAAGGGTGGGAAAAGGGGGGGGGGGCTTTTCCTGATCCCCCACTCAGGGCCTTCTAAGGGACAGCTGGCTAATGAGCAGCCTTCTAAGAGAGGCATGAAGGACTTGGGTTGGGGCCAAGGCACCACCTGCCCTGGCAGCTGCCCTCCTCAGGCACAGGTGAGAGCAAGCCAGTGAGGAAATGAATTATATGTTGTGTCTGAGGTGAGCCAGTGTGTGAGTGTGTGCGTGTTTGTGTGTTTGTGTGTGTGTGTGAGAGAGAGAGAGAGAAGGAAAGGGAAAGGGAGAGGGGGAGAAGGAGAGAAGGAAAGGAGGAGGGGAAGGGACAGGGGGAAGAGAGGGGAAGAGGAAGAGGGGAAGGGAGGGAAAGAGGGAGAGGGAAAGAGGGAGGAGAAGAGGGAGGGGGAGGGAGCGGATAACTGTGAATACTTCCATTACCCAGAGTGTCTGTGTGTTAAAGATAGTATAGGTGTTAACAATTGACCCTGAACAGATACAAGAAAAGCACCTGGCTGTGAGAGCCCATGCTGGAGCAGGTGTGGACACCTGAGTGTACATTTGTGTGTGAGAGAGGAGCAGGGTGGAGAGATGATGGCAAGCTGGAGGGTGGCCTCTAAGCTAGACTCTAGGCCCACATCCCAGCAGAACTGCTCACCTGCCAAACCTGCAGAGGTCACCTCTCGCTAAGCCCCCATCTCATGGGCTGTGTGTGTGCCAGTGTAATAAGTCTGTCTGTCTGTCTGTCTGTCTGTCTGGAGAGGTGGGTGTCTTCCCAAGGATCAGTAAGGGTCTGGTCCACAGCAAAGCTACTGTGGCTATTGGAGGCCTTGCTCCCTCCCCTGGGCCTATGGAGGCCCTGGGCACCCTCTGCACTGGGGTGTCAAATGTGTCATTTCTGGCTTGGGGAACCGGAGAGTTCAGGAGCGCTGGGGAAGTGACCTGGGAGGGGAAGTTGGTTGATAGGGTCTGGAGAGGGATCTAGGTCTAGATACTGCTGGACCTAGATGTAGGTCCAGGCTCCATGTAGGAGGTGCACACAGGCCATACCTTAGCCCCCGCTGTGCCCGACTTCAAGTCTCTAGTAAAACATATTCACTGCAGAAAAGGAGAAAATCCATAGAAGTTCAAAGAACGGTGGCCACCAAGATAGCTCAGTGGATAAAAGAACTTGCTGCTCAGACTGAAGACCTGGGTTCAATTTCCAGGACCCACACGGTGGAAGGAACCAGCTTCCTAAGGATGCCTTGTTAAACTGTTTTTGTTTTTAGAGAGTCTCATTTGGTTGTTCTGGCAGGCCTGAAACTCAATATCTAGACCAGGATGGGTTTGAACTCATAAAGATGATCCACTTGTCTCTGCCACCTGAGCATTGAGGGCTGGGATTAAAGGTGTGGCGGTCACCATTGTCTTTGTTGATGGAGAGCTAAAGAGGGTAGCTGCCTCTTCTCATGCTTGCTGACTTTTTGCCTGCAATTCACCAGTGCATGGCCTATGCCTAGATCCTGTAGGAAACTTTTACCGTTTTATCGATTTTTAAAAGTTCTTTATATATTAAGGTTACCTCTATACAGTATTCACTATAACCCCTACATTCCCATTCCCCGGGGAAATAAGAATGGGGCATAGACCTTTTCAGAGTCTGAGCATTTTGAGTTTATCCCTCATTGGGCTGAGAAGCTCCGGAACTGGGTGGCAGGATGGGGTTTCTCTGGTCACGCAGAGAGGGAGGAGCAGTGGTGAGGAAAAGAGAGAGAAGGGTCAGAGCTGAAAGCAGGGGCTCTGAGTGACAGCCTTAATGGGAGGCAGATGGAGGAAACAGGATTGCCCTTGCTGACAGGAGGGGTCAAGGGACATAGGGCTTTCTGAAGACAGGAGCCTGGGGGACTGACTGGCAGTGGAGCTTGGCTCCACTGCGTGATGCCTAAGGGCTCTGAAAGGGCAAAGGTCAGCTCCGCCCTCCCGCAAGGCACCGAGCCAGAGAAGCTGAAGGGACTCTCTGAGCTCTGGAGGACAGCGTGTAGAGGGGCCCCGTAGACTAGGTGAGAGTCTACCCTGCTGAGCGTCAGTGGGCAAACTCTGAAACCAGTTTGAGCCAGATTCTTTGCTCGTGAAAGGGCAAGATGATAGGATTTAACGGAATCTGTGTGTAGAGGGTTCAGCCAGGGCTAGGACCCGGGAAGGGTTCCATAAGTGCAAGTTGGGTCTTCTCTGGTATGCATTGTTCACATTTGTGATTGCATATGGGCACTAGGGCCCTGCGTGCAGAGGTCGGAGGACAGCCTGGAGGACAGCCTGGAGGGGTCTGTTTCTCCCTCGGCCATAAAGGCCCCAGAGATTGACCTCTGGTCACGAGGCTTGGTGGCAAGCCTCCATCCTCCGAGCCATCTCACCTACCCAGCCCAGCTCTTCCTACTCTGCCCCCTGTCAGCCATTGGTAACATTGGGATGCCTGTGGTTGGCTCTAGGACTGTGAGGGCTGGGCGGACGATCGAGTTAGAGGTGAAGACACTGAGGCCACATCTGGGTTCACCTACAGCAGAGGGGTTGTTGGAGTCTGCCTTCTGAGTTCCTGGGGAACCTTCAAAGTGACCTTATTAGGAGAAGGGTCTTGTAGATGTCAGGAGGTTAAACTTCGGACACTCTGGATCAGGGCAGCCTCCAAATCCAAGGGCTGGAGCCACTGAGGAAGGAAGGAGCCATCTGGACATAGGCACAGACCCAAAGCAGGAAGCCACGATGCCCACTTGTGGTGCTGATAGAGGAAACCCAAGGCCCAAGCCCCTTACCCAAGCAGCCTGTCGACTGAGCCACATCCCCAGCGTCCAGGTTCAGTGGCCCACCCCCTCTGTGTGTGTATGGGTGTTTTGCCTGCATATATGTGTGTGCACTGTTTTTGTGCCTGATGGCCACAGAGTCCAGAAGAGAGCATTAGTTCCTCTTAGTCTAGAGTTCCAGACGGCTGTGAGCTGCCATGAGGGTGTTGGGCGCTAAACCTGGGGCCATAACTGCTGAGCCACTTCTCCAACCACCCCCTTCCTTTTTGAGATAGTCTCACTGGCTGGAAACAGAACCTGGGTCCTCTGCAAGGGCAGCCAGTGTTCTTCATTGCTGACCTAGCTCTCCAGGCCTAAGTACAGACTTTCCCCCCGTTATTCCCTGAATAACCCCGTAAACAACTACTGGGCTTGCATTTTCACTTGGGTGTAATAGTCATTTGGAGCTGATATGGTATATGAGAGGAGCCATGCAGGTCCCACAAAATGCTATACCATTCTGTATAGGAGACTTCAGTACCCACTGGGTTTGGTGTCATGGGGCATCTTGGAATGAAGCCTGTGATTCCAACACTTGGGAAGTGGAGGCAGGAGGCTCAGGAGTACACCAGCCTCAGCTATTCTGCAAGCTAGTCAAGGCCAGCTAGGGCTACATGAGAGCCTGTCTTAAAACAAGAAACTTTATTCCCCCCCGCCCCAGTCAACTCTGTGGCGATGGCAGGTGCCAAGCAGAGAGACCACTATCCTCCTCGGCCTATGACAATGCAGCTTCAGGAACACTGACACCTCCCCATAACTGGCCTTCTAGAATCATCAGGGCCTTGCTCCAGGACCCAAAGTCGCAGCAGCTCAAATTCGTGTAGGGGGAAGCTGCTTGGTCCCTGTATAGTCCTTTCTGCTACATCTCTGCTCTTGCCTCCCTGCTCAGGGTCTAGGAGTTTAGGCAAGTGATAATTTTTGCCCATTTTACAGACTAGGCTATGAAGGCTGACTAAGTCTCTCCAGTGAAAAGTAGGAAGCCTGTTTGGCCAGAGGTCAAGGGACAGAGAATAAGGAACTGTCCCCACTGTCTGTGGGGGAAGAGTTGGGGTGCAAGGTCCTCGTGGCGCCGCTCAGCCTGCAGCGTGGAGAGACCGAGGTGGCTGCAGACCTTCCTTAGAGAATGGCCAAAGTCAAGCAGGCTGCAGAAGGCAGTGTTCAGGCTCAGGACAGGGACTGAGTTACCTCGGGTGGGAGCCGGGCAGTAGCGGGCCCACGTGCCCGCCCAGAGCTCGGATGCCCTCCAGCGGCCCGGCGGGGAATCCCAGGGCGGGGGACGAGCCCGGGCAGTGAGGGTCTTGGCGAGGTCCTCCCCGGCGGCAGGGGGCACTGTGGTCGCACGTGCGCCCTCACAGGCCGGAGTGGAACGGAAGTAGGAGTGGTAGGATGACTTCCGGTGCGGAACCGTAGCCTGAGCGGAGGACTGGTCACCAGCGCGGGGTCTGAACCGGTAGATCAGGAGGTGGTGGCGTGTGGGAGTTGGGACGCGCGGCCGTCGCCATGCCGTTCCTGCACGGCTTCCGCAGGATCATCTTCGAGTACCAGCCCCTGGTGGACTCCATCCTGGGCGCCCTGGGCATCCAGGACCTGGAGCGGCAGGAGCCCGTGCACGAGTGAGTCTCTGCTGCGGTCCCCTGTGGTTGTCCCCGCGGGAGCTGCGTGGCTGCCAGCGCGAGCTCCATCCCGAAGCGGTCCCGCAGCGTCTTGCAGGGCAGAGGGCCTGGGCCTCGGCGCCGCGCCTTGTGCATGGATGTCGGGAGGAGACGAGGGGCTGGGGCCGACAGCGCTTTCTGCAGACAGCAGGCCTCTCCGAGAGCCTCTGGGGAAGGAAGCCGATGTGGTCCGTGTCCTCTGTGCTGGCCTTCGTGGGTTCCCCGAGCGCTGCGGCCAGGCCCCCGCCTTCGGAGTGCTCGTCCTGCAAGGACAGGCGAGCACCCAGACCAGCAGGGTGGTGTGAGATGCAGGGAAGAGGGTGGGGCAGAGGAAGGGCATTGACAGAGTCCTGAGCTGGAGTTGCAGACACTGATTAGCTCACCAGGACGTCTTTTCTAAACCATGTCGTTTCTTTCCTCTGGGGCCTACTCTACGCGCAGTGCCAGGCTCTTCCAGAGCTCGGAGGCGGGGCTGAGGGCAGCACCAGGCGCTGCTGCCCCCCCTTGGCAGAGCCCAGTATTAGTGGATTCAGGAGGGCTGCCCCAGATAAGCGTTTTGTGTCCGGGCGTTGGTCGAATCTTGTGGCCAACCTAGAATTCTGGTGGGTGAGATTAGGGAAGAGATGAAGTGAGGAGCATGGTGGCGACACGGTGACTCTGAAGTGAGGGTGTTTGGGCTGCTGTCAGAGCTCGGGGCAAGGTATGGAGCAGCCTCCAGGCCCAAGAAGCTATTAGTAGGTAGCGTTGGCTAGGAAGGGCAGGAACTGTGGGTCCACATTCAGGGCAGTGTGAGAGAGGACTGGACAGAGCCAGCCCTTTTGACAGTAAGCTGAAAGATGGCTTTGAAACCACTTCAGACTTTTGACCAAGAAAGACTTCCACACCACAGAGCATGAGCAGTTTTTGTGGGTGACTGGAAGGGCGTACATTCTCTCCGTGCCTGAGAGTTCCCATTTCCTCTGTTCTGCCTCTTGACACATAGTTATGCTGCCAGCGAGGAGAGCCGCATCCTGGTCCTCACCGAGCTGCTGGAGCAGAAGGCCCACTCGCCATTCTACCAGGAGGGGGTGAGCAACGCTTTGCTGAAGATAGCTGAGCTGGGGCTGACTCGGGCAGCGGCTGTCCTTCTGCAGAGTGGGGCCAACCTCAATTTTGAAGGTCAGCAGCATCGTGGGGGTGGGGGTGCAGGACTAAGCAGCCAGGCCTGGCCACTGCTTTTCCTCTTGTTTTTGGAGTGTCTTCCCTTTCTCTTTGGGTGACTTTCTGGTGGTTCTTAGCGTTTCTCCTCCCACACTGAGTGATGTTGCCGACATTTCCCAGCTTTTAGACTCATCTTTCTGTTAGCAACGAAGTGCACTGCCTTCAGGGATGATGAAGGCCATTCCTTCAGTCCCGCCATTGGCTATCACAGGTAGGGCTGCCTAGGAGCCAGTGGGGGGCCAATGCGGACCCCCTCCTCCCCCAGTACAGCCTTCATGTCACTCATGGAAAGCAGGCTTAGAGGCTGCAGGGCACTTGAGAATCCTACAAGAGGAGTAGCTGCTGTTTCAAAGCCCATCCACATGTTCTCGTGGCCTGGCTGCAGCCAAGCGTGTAACACACTCGGATGGTTGAGGCAGAAGGATCTCTAGTGACCCTGGGCTACCTAGCAAGGTCAAGGCCTGCCAGGACTTGGTTGTAAGATCCTGGCTCAAGGAAACAAAAGGCTGGTGCACACTGGAGCCCGAGCGCAGCCGCTTTTCCTTCTCCTTAGGAACAGTCCTGAGAGGAAACTGAGGCCAGTGCAGATAAGTCACATGTCTATTGGAACACTCAGGTCTCCGGGCCTAGCGTCTGCATACTTGAGGTGGGAGTGCTGGGAGAGGCTCTGGGGCCATTCTGACCAGAGCTTCTTTGCCCTCAGACCCCGTTACATACTACACAGCCCTGCACATCGCTGTCCTGAGGAACCAGCCTGACATGGTGGAGCTGCTGGTGCGCCACGGGGCGGACATCAACAGGAGGGACCGGGTAAGAGTCAGGTCCAGTCCTGGGCATGTGTGGAAGCTTTACCAGCCAGCCTTCCGGGCCCCCGGGCAACATGGCTGCTATCCCTTTTGGTTCAGATCCATGAGAGCAGCCCCTTGGATCTGGCCAGCGAGGAACCAGAACGCCTACCCTGCCTGCAGCGCCTCCTGGATCTCGGAGCAGATGTCAATGCAGCTGACAAGAACGGTAAGGGAGTTAGTGCAGAGGTTAAGGACCTGGGTTCAGTTCTCAGCGCTGATATGGCAGACCACAACTGTCTGTAGCTGGAGTTCCAGGAAGTCTGATGACCTCCTCTGGCCTGTGAGGGCACTGGCACATACGTGGTACATAAGCATATGTCATGCTTGCAAAGCACCCATACATAAGAAAATAATTTAAAGCAAGCAAGAAAGAATGGTAAGTGTTGAGGTGGGAGGCTGGCCATCCCTGGGGCTGGAAACTTGTTATGGGAAGACAAGCAAGCATTTTAGGTGCTGGGCCCAGTGGATGGCATAGCCACCGCTGGCCCACAGGCAGAGGATGCTAATCTGCCTGAGTCCAGCCCCCAGAGGCTTTGGAGAGAGTGTGGTCACTGTCTTTACAGTGCCCCAGGTGGTGAGTATACCCAGCAGCTGTGTGTGGAAGCAGACAGGCCTTGGCCTTGCGTGGCCCTCTTGTTCCTGCTTTTGTGTGAATTAAGCCCTGCGAATCCTGCTCCCATCCATCTCTGGGCAACCTGGCCTCATCCTCCCTCTCCTTCCTAGGGAAGACAGCGCTGCTGCACGCTCTGGCCAGCAGCGACGGAGTGCAAATCCACAACACAGAGAACATCCGGCTCCTCCTAGAGGGCGGTAAGGTTCCCCATCTGCCCACAGCTGTGCCTGCTGTTCTTCATCCCCGCTGTTTGGTAAAGGCTGCTGGCCACCTCCCATTTCTGTTCCCATGGCTCTTCCAGGGGCAGATGTCAAGGCCACCACCAAAGATGGGGACACTGTATTCACATGCATCATCTTCCTGCTCGGTGAGACCGTCTGTGGGGACAAGGAGGAGGCCCCGATGATCAACCGCTTCTGCTTCCAAGTCACGCAGCTTTTGCTGGCCCACGGAGCCGACCCCAGTGAGTGCCCGGCCCATGAGTCCCTCACACATATCTGCCTCAAGAGCTTCAAGCTGCACTTCCCCCTCCTGCGCTTCCTGCTGGAGTCAGGGGCCGCCTACAACTGCTCCCTGCACGGCGCATCCTGTTGGTCTGGCTTCAACCTCATTTTTGAGAGGCTGTGCTCCCACCCGGGCTGTGCCGAGGACGACAGCCATGTTGAGCTCCTGCATAAGGCCGAGACCGTGCTGGACCTCATGGTGACTAGCTCTCAGAGGCTGCAGCTGCCTGAGAACTTCAACATCCACCCAGTGGGTAGTTTGGCAGGGAAGATCCAGGCCCTGCATGCCTCCCTGCGGCAGCTGGAGAGCTACCCGCCACCTCTCAAGCACCTGTGCCGCGTGTCCATCCGGGTGTGCCTGCGGCCGTGGCCTGTAGACACCAAGATCAAAGCGCTGCCCCTGCCTGACAGGCTCAAGTGGTACCTGCTCAGTGCACACAGCAGCACAGAAGACAGCTGCTGACTGCTGAGGAACCCAGGATGGAATGATCTGGGGTGGCCAAAGCCAACCTGACGGTAGACCTGGCCCCTGAACAGTCTTCAGAGGGTCCTTTTATCTGGACAAGGCTTGTCTTTACTGATATAAACCACTAGGGCAGTGCCCTCGAGGCTAAAGGCATAGCTGCCTCTGGGAAGAGGCCCACCTACTCTCCCTCAGTGTTCCTAAATCTCAGCCACGATGGAGGGGCCAGTGCGCCTGGGAAACATCTCTCTGTATTAGGAGCTGACCAGGCCATTTCGTAGAAGCAGGAAGTAGAGGCCAGGCCCCTCAGAGCTCTGGCAGCTGGTTGGTTCTTGAGGGGTGGGGAGGGAGGAAGAGATACTTTCCTGGGTCTTTCAGGGGCCAACACCAAAATCCTGGGCCATCCAGTTAGGTCCTATTATACTGCCTCAGGTCTCACAATGCTTTTGAGGAGCTGGAGACAACACGGAGGCCACCACAGGCTGACCAGGCTAGAGCCTGCCTGATCCTGTGGCCTTTGGTGCTCTCTGGCTGGTGGCAGCTCTGCTCGGGGCATATCCCGGCCTCAGGAACAGTGCCTACTACTAAAGGTGAGGGCCTCCCCAGAACCTAGTGCTGAGGCCTTGGCAGTCTGCTTGGCCTTTGGGAGTGAGCAGAGATGATTAAATATATTTGCAACATTAAACATGGTGTCTTTGTATGACAGTTTCCTTGCACAGCATCACTCCAGGCTGCCTGGGGCATTTGAAAACAGTTCACCCTTTATTAACGATGTGTGCCTGTCAGGGAGGAGCTCCCAAGGAGCTGAAGAAGACGAGCAAACCTCCCCTTACAGCAGGCTCCCTGTGACCCATCACCAAAGAGAATTTGGGACTGTGAGCATTTCTTTAAGTGGTACTATCTGGCTGCCCCAGAACATAGCAGTCCACACCCCTCGGGTCCTTTGGCAGCCAGGTGAAGTCTTTCTTTTCCCTTAGGCAGCTAGTCCTATGGTGGGCAGTTTCCCACATGCCTTATGGGAAAGTGCCAGGGTGCCTCGGAATGACAGGGTTGTGTGCCCAGGGCACACCTCCCCCAGGGCTTGGCCCCTCCCGCTGGAGTTAATGGGAGGTGGCAGGTGGGTCTGGGGCCTGCCAGGTGCTGGACCCCAGCTCTGGCCCTGGCCTCATCTCAGGGCAAAGCTGTAGACATGGTAGATCTCGTCCGGCAGGTTCTCCTGGCGCTCCTCAGCCAGCAGGCTGAGGCCCGCACTGCGGATGATCCGGCGTACCACCTCCAGGTCTCTGCACACGCTGCTGTCCACGTCGTCCAGGATCACGCCCTCCTGGGCCATGTTGTCTTTGATGACGATGATGCCATTGGGGCGCAGGCCCCGCTTGCAGCGGCGTAGAAAGTCAGCCAGGTGCTGATCCGTCAGGTGGCCTGGGGAGAACAGAGGTGTGCACTCGTGGATGTGCGCCCTGAGCACGGGCCCGGCAAGGCCGTCTCCTGCCAGAGGCCGGGTGAGGCCACCCACATCGCAGCACACACCGAGTAAGAAGCTGGGGTTCAACCTGACAGGGTGCCACCAGCACCTCATACCACTCACCCTTCCTAGGCCTGGACTGGGGGTGGGTGAGCTGAAAGCCCCCAACACAAGGGCCAGGCCCAGTGTCCAAAGCAGTGCTGTGTAGCCCCTCGTGAGGAGGCACCCGCTACAAGATCAGTAGCTCCAGGATGAATTGTTAGGCTGTGCGGGCATTCTCCACCCCACCGCACACCGCTCGAGTGGTCCCACCCCTGGCCTGGCCGGGCAGCCTTTGACTCCACCACTTGGCAAGAAGATTTTGAGTCTGAGGCCAATCTAAGCTACATAAAGAGATTGATTAATAATTAAATAAATAAATAAATAAATAAAAATTTAAAAAGTCACAAGAGCGCTGGAGAGATGGCTCAGCAGTTAAGAGCACTGTCTGCTCTTCAGAGGTTCTGAGTTCAATTCCCAGCAACCACATGGTGGCTCACAACCATCTAAATGTGATCTGCTGCCCTCTTCTGGCGTGCAGCTGTATGTGCAAATAGAGCACTCTCATATACTTAAATAAATCTTAAATTTTTTTTTAAGTCACAAAAAGAATTTAAGGGCGGGAGAGATGGGTTATGGGCACCAGCTGTCCTTCCAGAGGACCAGGGTTCAGTTCCAGCATCCATACGGTGGCTCACAGCCGTATGTAACTCCAGTTACAGGGGATGATGACGCCCTCTTCTGGCCTCTCTAAGAAAGGCACACGTGCAAGCACACATACATAAAACTTTAAAAGCTTAAAAAAAAATTCTTTCTGAATTTCTTTTTAATTTGCTTTTACTTCTTATTGTGTATGGGTGTTTGGCTTGCATGGATGTATTTGTCCCATGTGTGTGCCTGGTGTCCACTCAGGCCAGAAGAGATGGTTCCAGCTAGGTGGCAGCTCTTCAGTGGGCTTTAGGTTCTCGTCACAGTCCTGGGAAGTGGGAATGAGCTGCATCTCAGCTGGCCGGCTCCCTGCCAGAGCAGAGCCAGGCTGCCAAGGCTGTTGGGGCAGCTGAGGGGCAGAGAGCATGGTAAGCACGGGGGTGGGGCCATGGGATACTCACCTATCACCCACTGGATCCAGATGACATCATAGGCGCTGGGCTCTGGGCTGAAGTCCTGCAAGCCACAACAGAAGTAGTTCCTCACCCTCTTGCCCTCTTCCCCCAGGTAGGTCTTGGCTTTGGCCAGAAAGTCCTCTGTCACGTCCACCATGTCCACCACCTTGAAGAGTGGCAGGAGCAGGCGCTTGGTGATCCTTCCGATGCCTGCGCCACAGTCCAGGGCACAGAAAGTCCCCGTCTTGTTTGGGCCTTCCTAAAACACAGGGGCAGCAAATGACCCACAAGGCAGCAGCACCACCTCAGGGCCCTTCTTGTGAGTCCCCGAAAGCCGAGTCAGGCTGCTGCACTGGCCTGTTACGGGAGGGCAAGTGGAACTCTTTCTAAGGCTGAAGGCAGCTTCCACTTCCAGGGGACAGCTAGAGCGACAGGTGCACAATCTCCTCATTTCAGAGCCCCCGGGAGCCCACAGGGGGACGGGTGCTAAGGATGCAGAAGACACAGGTGGAGCACCTGCTAAGCACCATGGGGAGGACTGTGGGGATGTGGGAGTGACTGCACGAAGCTGAGAAGGGAGTCACAGAAGGACAGTCCCCTCCTGCAGCCGCAGCACCCCCAGGCCCAGCAGGGGCTGTCCCCAGACTGCTGAGTCCAGTGCAGGGGCAGCTCCTGCCTTGCAGCCCTGAGACAAAACTCACAAGAGCCACCCAATCACCACCCTCCCCAGCTCCTCGGGGCCTTGGCGGCAGCCACCAACAGAGAAGCTACAGTGTGGTGTGTGGAAGTGACTCCCCACACTGCCCCGCCAGAGCCACGGCCTCTCCTGGAGAGGACATCAGACCTGCCTACCCTTAAAAACCTCTGCAGAAACTTCCGGGAGCTGTTGAGGTCGATGTTGGAGATGTGGCCATACCCCCCAAGCATGCCGTCCACCGTGGGTGGGATCTGCTTCCAGTACGTCCTGGCCTTCGAATAGAACTGTTTCTCATCTTCGATCACCTCGCTTGTCATGATGTCACCAGCCACCGCTCTGCTCCTCTGAAAAATGAAGAGGCAGGGTGAGCAGGGCACTGGAAGCTGCAGGCCATACTGTGTGAGGCACAAAACTGCCTGGAGAAAGCAACGAGCAGCCATAGACTTCTTGGATGACTCGCTGGCTTCCCAGTTTGCAAACTACCAACGCAAGGGGCCTGCAGCCTGGTGTCTTGTTTCTGACATCTATGTGACTTCTTGACTTGACCTACAACCCCAGGAAGGGCAAAGTTCCCAGAGCCTTCTGCTACAGCCACCCGGGGAGCCCCCACCCCAGGAGGCCTGAGAAACCTCCATGCCTTTCTCCCCCCTCAATGGCAAGCAAATAGCTCAGGGAGAGCCAGCCCTTCATTCCAGGGCAGGGTCTCAGCCAGGTGCCAAGCCGTGCAGCAAGAGGCAAGAGCAAGGCCCCAAACAGGACCTCAACCAGTAGGGAGGACACAGCCAGGGGTCACTGAGGATCGGGAAGGCATCAACAGGTGGTGACAGATGAGCGAGAGTTGGCTACGTGAGGAGAAAAGATCTGGTGGATCAGCCGGGAGTGGCCTGAGGAGCCATGAACCCTGAACATGGCTGATGATGGAGGAGACATCTGGGCACAGGTAACCTCAGATCCCCAATCCAGCCTTGGGCCAGCCTGCCCTTTTGGCAAAGTGACCCTGGATCGGCAGCGTCCATACTAGTTTGGTCATGGGTTGTGGAGGACACAGGATCGTGGCTGTCGGAAGTGCTGGCTCCCCTTTGTCCCAGCTACTGCAGGATCTGATGGTCACAATCCAGTAGGAGACAGGAAACCAGAAAGCTGCTTAAACACAGCAGAAAACAAGAGCTCCTCTGTCTTTGCATAGTTTCATAAACACTGTGCGGTCGGTGGACAGACCCCTTTCTTATGTTTCCGGTACCGGGGGTGGAGCCCAGGCTTTGCATCACCAGATAAGCGCTCCCGAAGACTGCTTTCTGAATGGGGGTAGGCAGCGGTCCAGAGAAAGTGACATGAGCAGACGGGCCAGAAGCAGAATTAAACAGCAGAAGAGGAAGAGGAGGACTTCCGCAGAGGACCAGCCCTGAACTGCAGCCTGCTGGCTCGCTCTGGCTGAGCAGTCATGAAGCCGTCAGTCACCTAATAGCCAGTGTGCATGGCAACAGCCAGGACTAACCTGCGGGTGTCAGAGGGGAGTGGACACAGCAGTGGCTGTGCTGAAGGACAGGTAGCAGCAGCAGGAAAGACAGTGTTGCCACTACTCAGGCACTGTCCAGCAGCCATGCTTTCCCCCGGGGAGTAGAAGAGGGAGCAGGGCACATGGGAGCTAAATGCCCTGCCCAAGGTCAGAGGGCCCATGCCCTCTCTCACCACATGGGCAGCTTCTCACTGTCCTGAACTCGAGGGTCTCCACTAGAACACTAGAACACGAGGCAACGACACAGGCCCTGGGGCGGCTACAATCTGCCTGCCTACAGAGTCAGGGAGAGAGCTGGGGTCCCCAGGAACTCGGCCAGCATTGCAGCCTCAGGTCTCACCAACCTACCTGGGCACCAGAGCCACAGCTCAAAAGTAACAGTCAACATGGGAGGGGCTCTGGGAGCCAAAGAGCAAACCCAGAGAGCAAAGGCACAAAGGGGCCCCGAGGGCTGCCGGAAGCGGGGGAATGAAAGACAAGAACAGCAAAGTGGCTCCATTTGTCACCAGGCCCCCATTGCACCACAACTGCACTTGTTACAAGGGTTTCGTGCCAAAAGAAGACATGGCCACCCTGCACCCCAAGAGGCCCTGGAGCAACAGGCTCGGGGACCTGGCTCTAAACAGCACATTCCTTTACCACAATAACCCACCAGCAGCACCCGCGCTGGCCTGGCCAAGGCGGCAGCGCGCTCCTGAGAGCAGGTGCCCTAAGCTGTGAAGGCTCTGGCCCACAGAGGAATGTGAAGACTTACTAGTCCCAGAGACTACCACCTGTACAAGCAGAAATGGAACCGTGGCTTGAGAAGCAGACGAGACAGGGAACACCAGCCTCAACGCCATCCACCTGGCTGGAGTCTGGGAACGACAAGAGGACGCTCCAGGAACCACAGCAACTACGTCACAGCGAGCACCAGCTCAGGACTGGCCCACTCACCCCGGGGCCCAGCAACTGGCTACCCCCTCGATGCCCGTAAGTCCTAAGAAAAATCTCAGATTCATGTTAAAAAAGAGCGGTCTTCTTTGACAAGAAGCACAGTGACTTCGCTTTTTTTCTCGGGGCCCACGCAGCACCCGGGCATCCAACACAAAGTGTGGTTCTTATCAGACGAACAGGAAAATTGGAGCCAACCACAGAAGGGGGTGCACTCTGCCCGTCTGCCCCTCCCAGGGTGCCAGTGCCGTGATATGGCACATCGTTCGCAGTGCTGGAGTCCAGGGCGCTTGCTAGCTGGTGGTAGGAGGACTTGGTGAGCATACACAGGGGCAGCCATTTCTCACTTTTGGAGGCTCCTACACGCCTCACGTCACAACAGATGCTGCTGCAGCTGTTACCAACATCAGTTTTTGCATTACCAAAAGCCTATGACACAATTCCTTTAAATGCCAAAGTGTCTTGAAAAAATCTAATTTACAAGAATCCCACTTGCTTCTCGGAAGTATCTGGCGGATGGGGGTGGCAGTTGTGGAGTGCATCCAGGACAGGAAATGCAAGTCCAGGGCTGATGTGCCCTTATAGCCCATTCATGAAGACATGCGCTTCCTGGGGCCCTGTCCAAACTTGGACTGAGAATTAGGGACATCAAGAAAGACATCCTCATGGCACACGCCTGTGATCCCAGCATTCAGGGAGGCAGAGGCAGGCAATCTCTGTGAGTTCAAGACTAGCCTGGTCTACAAACTGAGTCCAGGACAGCCAAGACTACATAGAGAAACCCTGACTGAAAAAAAAAAAAGAAAGAAAGGGCAGTGTGGCTATGTGTGTGCTCGGCTAGCTCATGGGCAGGCAGGCCTCTTGTTTATGGCAGACTGTCACCTGCCAGTCCCTGGAGTCATGTAACCACCTCCCGCTCCACCTGGACAGCTGCCCTGCTAAGTCTCTTTTCCCAGGAAAAGAGAAGAAAATGATGTTTAAGCTGTCACCAGCAGGCCTTTACAGTCACCACCCCCGGTGACATTTCTACGAAAGAGCCTGAAAGCAAATGGAAGGAAAATAAAGAAAAAGTTTCCGTCAGTTACAGCCTCCCTCCGGCAGCATGGTGGACAGCAGTTGGCCTGGTGAAGAATGCTCCAGGAAGGAAAACAAGGAGAAAGGGAGAAAGGGGAAGGGAGAGAGAGAAAAAATGTTGGCACAGAGAGGAGGTAGGGAGCCTAACCAAAATCACACAGAATTTAAACAAACACCAAGAAGAATGTCAGGTGCCAGGTGTGGTGGCATATGATGCAGGCAGAAGATTACTGTGTAATTCAAATGCTGATTTCTGTATCCCCCATCATGGTTGCAGTCCTGGTTCTTGCAATCTCCTGTCTGAGGCTGAAGAGATGGCTCAGAGGTTCAGAGCACTGGCTGCTTTTCCAAAGGTCCTGAGTTCAATTCCCAGCAACTACATAGTGGCTCACAACCATCTATAATGAGATCTGGTGTCCTTGCTTGGCGTAAATAAGTAAATAAATCTTAAAAACAAAACAAAACAAAAAACCCCTCCTGTCTCAATATTATGTAAACACTGCTCCCTAATTGTCCTCTATATGCCACTAAAGCAGCTTACAGCCAATCACTGAGCAGAGGAGAGAATAGGGCTGAACTTCCTGCCAGCCAGGGGAGGAGAAGTTAGAGGAGGGAGAAGGGATTGAGCCACAGATGTCCAGGAGGGACCAGGAGAGAGGGCTCAGCAAGGAAAACTACAAAATGCAAGTATCTATAAAATGCACGCTGGGAGGAAACCAGATTAGCTCAGAGGGTTAAGAATAGAGTAATAACTGCTCAGTTATTGTGTTGAGAAGCTTATATTAGTAAACAACTATAAAAGAGTCTCAGTTATTTGTGTGATAGCCGGGTTAAGACAGAAACTGAGAAGCAAACACAGTTTTATAAAAATAACTTTAGCAATACTCCATTAATCCCAACACTCCAAAGGCTGAGACAGATGAATCCCTGAGTTCAAGGCCAGCCTGGTCTGCAGAGAAATCCTATCTGGGGGTGGGGGTGGGGGTCAGGAGTGGAGGATACACTCAGGACATAGAGGCAGAAGGATCTCTGTGAGTTCCAGACCAACCACAGCTACAGAGTGAGACCCTGTCTCAGACCAAAACAACAAATGGCTGAGAGTAGGGTGGACTGGATTGGAGTCTTGGCTCTGCTCACCAGCTCTGTAAGCTCAGATAGTACATTTAGCTGGGTATGGTGCATTATGTGCCTATATTCCTAGCACTCAGGAGGCCGAGGCTGGAGAATCAGGAGTTCAAGACTAGCCTGAACTACACAGTGAGACCCTGTTTAAGAAAACAGAAACAGGGGGCTGGAGAGATGTCTCAGAGGTTAAGAACACTGGCTGCTTTTCCAGAGGTTCTGAGTTAAATTCTCAGCAACCACATGATGGCTCACAACCATCTATAATGATGTCTGGTGCTCCCTTCTGGCGTGCAGGCACCTATGCAGGCAGAATAAAAGAAGTTTAGTCTGTGGAGTACTTGCCTAATATGCACAAAGCCTGGGTTCAAGCCTCAGTACCCCTAAAACTGAACACGGTGATGCATGCCTGCAATCCCAGCACTCAGGAGCTCAAGGTCATCCTTAGCTGCAAGGTGATTTTGAGTCTTCTCAGCATCCCACTTCCACCTGTAATTCCTGCTCCTGACGGCTCTGGTGCCCCCTTCTGGCCTCCACGGGCCCTGCACTCATATGGATAGCCCCCATACACATATAATCAAATACATTATTTTTTCTGGTTTTTCTGTGTAGCCCTAGCTGTCCTGGAACTCACTCTGTAGACCAGGCTGGCCTTGAGATCCACCTGCTTCTGCTTCTGTTGGAGTGAAAGGTATGTACTACTACTGGCAGCCTCAAACACAACTTTTTGTTTTTGTTTGTTTTTTTTATGACAGGGTTTCTCTCTGTATAGCCTTAGCTGTCCTGGAGCTCACTCTGTAGACCAAGCTGGCCTCAAACTCACAGTGATCCTCCTGCCCCCTGCCCCCCACTCCCCAGCTAAAGGCAGCACCTGGCTTTCAAACACAGTTCTTAAGATCAAGTAAGGAAAATGTGTTAAAATCTCCAAAGTGAGGTCACATGATGATCAATCTCAAAGATACAAATAAGCTCTCTCTCCCAGTATACCCAGAACCACTGTGGTTACAGACTCTGACCTTTTGATCCTATGGCTTCTGGCCTTCAGCAGAGCATTCCACAAGAACCCCGAAACCTCAGGTGTGCACAGTTTGCAAACAGGAAAACCAGGGGGCTAAAGGAAACGATGTGCCGAACACTACATGGGAACCAATCCCAGCTTCTCATTTGGTCCTGGGGCCTCCCAGGGGTTCGGCCCATCTCACTGAGTGAGATTCGTCACTGGTCAGTCAAGCCATCCCAATCAGGGCCCCTGACACCAGCTGTTCCAAACCCTTATCAAAAGGACAAAAGACCAAAATGATCCACAGTTGGTGGAGCAGCAAAGCCTGGGCTTTTCCAGATGGCAGCCTCCCCGAAAAGAGGCTGACCTTGGCCCCAAGGGCTCATGACAGTAGCTACACTGGCCAAAGCTGGAGATGGTTAAACACGATAGCAACCTGTGCAACTGAGCGCTTAAGTGAGAGCACGTGAGCCAAGCCGGGCCCCTATTCCTCAAACCAGCCCCGCAGCGGTGGCTTCCTTATCTCGGAGAGGAAACCGAGGACTGGAAAGGGCCTTTAAGTGGCTTAGGGGCGTGGGGGGGGACAGTGTGGCTTCCTCCAACCCGATGCGTGGTCACCACAGACCTCTCCGGGACACGCACGTGGGTCAGGCCCTGGTCACTTAACGACAGGGCCTCATCGCTTCGGGCAGTTGGGGTGAGCGTCTCCCTCCTCCCTGGCCGCGTCCTCTCTGCCAGCCTCGCGCTACCCACCTGGGTTGGGGCTCCAGGGATCCTAGAGACAAGGACCGGTTGAGGAGGAGGCTGGCAAGGACGGTAGCCCAGGGCAGCCGCCACCACTCTACCGGACCAGACACCTCGCGGCCTCTGCCTTTGTCCGCACACGTCACTTCCCGGAGCCTGGAGGGGGGGGGGGGCTCAAGCTCGCTCCGCCCCTCGGCCAGCTCACCCCGCCTCAAGTACTAGTTCACCCCTCCCCACATGCAGATAGCCCCTCCCCACATGTAGATAGCCCCTCCCCACGGCCAGATCGCCACGCCCCACAGCCGGCTCTACCAGTTCCACCTCCACCAGTCCCCTCTCTCCAGGGCCGGCTCACCCTTCTCCACGACCCTCTCACTCCGCCCCGAGGCCAGATCGCCCCGCCCCACAGCCGCCTAACGAGGCACATCCATATCTCCGCCTGACCCATTCGCCACTCCCCACTCCCTGCCTGCCCAGCCACACGACCAGATAAGTCCCGCCCCACGGCCAATTCGCCCCTCCCCACGGCCTGTTCACCCGCCCCACGGCCAGCGCGCCTTGTCTCAAGGCCAGATCGCTCCCACGTGCTTCTAACCCTCCCGGACTTCAAGATGAAGGGTCCGCAGCTGGCATCTCCCCGACCAAGTACGTGCACCAGCTCACTCGAGGGTGTATCTCTTTCTTTTGCGACAGAGTCCGACGACGTAACTGATGCCCTTCAACTTCGCGATCCTTCTGCATCAGCCTCGCGGTCGCTGTGGTTACAGGCACGCGTCACCACGCTCTACAAGGCTGGATTCTTAAAAACCAGCTGTGTGAGAGTTTTCCACTCGAAAAGGAGGGTTAAAGGCCATTGTTGCTAAAATCCATCTCCACCACTATCTTAAAATAATACAGCAACCCAGAAAAGAAAAGGGGAAGGAGAAGGCTTTGATAGAGGCAAGGGTTGCCAGCCCAAATAAAGCAGAAGTGCAGAAATTTCTCCTTCAGAAGACTGTCCTTCTGTATCTAGTCACGGCCATTCTGCGGCAGTCTTGAAGGAAAGATGAGTTTGCTGCAGGTGAACAGGTTAACCTCGGAGTTCCAGGTGCCTCTTCCAACTGGTGGACGGAATGATTCATCTACAGTGCTCTGAGGGTTGAATTTGTGGGATTTGCGGGTTCAGGCTTCAGCCTAGCATTTGCAGTGGGCCCCCAGGCAATGAAAGCTATCAATAACTATTTTCACATTAATTTCATCTCCATAAGGCAACATCCTGGTGTTAGACATTATCTATAATGCCTTTCCTTGGTTCTTCATTTAGGAGGTGTTTAAAAAGATGTGTCTGCTTTTTATTCATTTGTTTGTTTGAATCAACGCCTTGCTAGGTAAACCCAGGATGGCCTGGAACTCATAGTGATCCTCCTGCCTTTGGTGTGTTGAGATTAAAAGAATGCACCACCACACCGAATGTGTGTTTACTTTAATGCAAAAAAAGCTATAGACGCTTAGGGGGCTGAAAAACCCCACCCACAGTTGAGTCCCTACCCTAAATCTATGTCCATATTAGTTGATATCTGCTCTGGACTATTCCCAGTGCCTACAAGGTAGCCCACAACTATGTGTAACTCCAAGACCTGACACCCTCACACAGATGTCCATGCAGGCATAGCGTCAGTGCACATAAAAGGAAAATATACACAGTCGTGCTTGCTGCTTTTCCAGAGAACTAGAATTCAGTTCCCAGGGAACCCGACCCCTTCCGGACTCAAAAGATACCGGCATATGTGTGAACACACTCTCACACGTGTGAGCACACAAATACGTAAAAAGGGAACTTTCTCTTAAAATGAGGGTCTGGCTGGGTGTGGCGGGCTCACTGTTGCAGGATGTTTGATCACACTGTGAACCCCAGACTGTGTACTGGAAAAACCTGTTTCTAGCTGTGGTGTGGCTCAGCCCTGGCACACACCTTTAATCCAAAAGCCTTCTGTAAGGATAAAATAAAGTCAACCACAGGTCAAGAGGCAGAGCAAGCAACCAGTTGACAGGGAGTGGACTTAAAAAAACATAGAGAGAGGAAGTCCAGAGGATGTATAGAGAGACGCACAGGAAGTAGAAAGGAGGGACATTCAGTTTGAATGGTTTTTAGAATAGCATGGAAAAGGGGCTTTTTCCGTCTGGGGCATCGATTGAGTAGGAAGGTCATCTTGGTGCTTTCTCTGCCTCTCTGAGCTTCCACCCCAGCATCTGCCTCCTGAGTCTTTATTGATAAAATTGAGTGTTTGAGATTTTGTTAAAAAAAACAACAGCTCACACCTTTAATCCCAGCACTCAGGGCGCAAAGGCAAGCAGATCTCTGTGAGTTCAAGGCCAGCTGAATCTTTATCGTGAATTCCAGGACAGCCTGGTAAGACCCTGCCTCAAAAATTATTAATAATAACAACAACAACAATAATAATAATACGCAGGTTTGGGAGTTGCTCAAAAAACTGGCTCAACAGTTAAGAGTACATACTGCTATTGCAGAAGATCTGAGTTCGGTCCCCAGAGCAAATATTGGGTGTCTCACAAGCCCAGAGTCTCCAAGGCCCATTTCCAACCCATTTCAAGTGCACGTGCACATGACCGCACAGATACACACCTACACTCAATTTTAAATAATGATACAATAATACAAATGATACAAAAAGCTCATTTGGTAGAGTAATCGCTGAGCATGCACAAAGCCCTGGGTTTGATCCCCAACACCACATAAAACCAATTGTAGCTGGACATTACTGCAATCTGAGCACTTAGGAGGCAGAGGCAATCTTCAGTTGGTAGAAGGATCAGAAGTTCACAGTCATTCTTAAATCCTTAGTTTGAGAGTTAAAGAGACCTGCCTTTCACCGGGTATGGTAGTGCACACCTTTGATCCCAGCGCTTGGGCAGGGCAGAGGCAGTCGGATCTCTGTGAATTCCAGACCAGTCTGGTCTACCAAGCATGTCCAGGACAGCCAAGGTTACACAGAGAAGCCCTGTCTTGAAAAAAAAAAATCAGAAAAAAAAACAAAAAAACACAAAAGAGACCCTGTCTTAGAAAAAAAAATAATAAAACAGGCAGGCCTTGGTGGCATAGGCCTTTAATCTCAGCAGGAAGGCAGAGGCAGGCAGATCTCTGGGTTGGAGGCCAAGACTGGTCTACAGACTGAGTTCCAGGAAAGCCAGGGCTACACAGAGAAACTCTGTCTTGAAAGAAAGAGGAGGAGGAGAAGAAGAAATAATAAAAAAGAAAAAAGTCTCTCCCCACGCAATATTCTCTATGGACCCTTCATCCCCGCTGAAGAATGTTACAGAAAATGGAATACATCTTTCATGATGCCCCTTCTGGGCATATTATTGACCCTCGTTTTTTTTTTTTTTTAATTTATTTTATGTATATGAGTATTTTATCTCCTGCATGCCAGAAGAGGGCATCAGACCCCAGTATAGATAGCTGTGAGCTACCATGTAGTTGCTGGGAATTGAACTCGGAACCTCTGGAAGAACAGACAGTGCTCTAAACCACTGAGCCATCTCTCTAGCCTTCATTTTTTTTTAATCTATATATTTTTTAATTTATATCTTTATAAATTGTCTCAGCTGCAGGCCCTCATCCGCCAACCTGTTTGACATGCCCAGACATTCCCATAGGCCTCCTCTAGCTCTCTCCCAACCAAGACTCACATATCAGCCCATTTGCTCCACGGTACACCCAGAAACAAGAAACCTGTCAGCATCATATAGCCAAGAGAAACAGAAAAGGAACTGACCTTGGTTCCAAGCCCCTTGTGTTCTTACTGCCGTAGGAGGGTGGGACTGAGAAAGTTCTCCTGTCCTAGCCCTTACCCAGCTACATCCCCCTGGGTCTAGAGAGTGGCCCATTCCTCTCTGGATTAGGCATGGCCGCCCTGGCCAGGAGTTCCAAGGCCTCTGTGGGTGTGGCCCTAGCACCCAGGGCACAGCCCCACCCTGGTCCCCAGGCCACAGCGCCCATTGCTCTCCAGTGGCTGCGGATCACAATGGCTCCAAGGAGGCTCTCCGTGACCTGGGCGGGGATGCCCGAAAGAGCAAGTGGGAAGATGGGTGGTACCAGCGAATAGCCCACCTGCGGGGGGGGGGGCTCTAAACTCACAGGACCTTCTGGGGCCCCCACACGGTGAGTGTGCTGTCACCCAGGAAACAGTTTAGAGCCGACGACAACCTGGGAAGAGGGTGTACTTGGGGAAGCAACAAGCCTGAGACTCCCAGCGTCAGAGTGGAAGGGAACCGAGGCTTTCCTCCCTAATTGGGAGTTTGCTCAAATATGTGGCTTGGTGGAGCACCCGTTTTCGCTTCAGCAGGCTTTGCCAGGCTCTCTGAATCATCCCGAACCTTGGGGAGGGGCCAGTTAAAATGGTCGTGGCTCCTCCTCAGCACCCCTTTCCTCCGCTGCCAGCGTCTGGGGTAGGAGGTGGGAGAAGGTCCCCCGCCTGGAGCTTAGCATTCTGAAAGCAAGCTTGCAGATTCCCATCAAACGCTACAAACCGGAATGCTACCATGCCAGCAGGAGGTCCGGCTCTCCCATGCCTCCTCCCCCTACGGCCTCCAGTCATGGGTGAGCTGCAGGGGGTGGCCCAGTTTGGTAAGCCCAGGATTTGGAGAACCGAGGCAGGAGGACAGTCTGTCCTGCCGTGTATCGAGAGCCCTCCTCAAAGGGAATTTAACTGACGGGAAGTTCTCTGGCTGCCCAGATCTCAACACTAATAAGGATTGGAGCGACAGAACTCTAGAGCAGTGGTTCTCGGCCTTCCTAAGGCTTCGACCCTTTAATACAGCTCCCCATGTTGTGGTGACCCCCAACCACAAAATTACCTTCCTTGCTACTTCGTCATTGAAATTTTGCTACCCTTGTGAACCGTAAGGTAAATATCTGTGTATGCTGATGCTATTAGGCCACCCCTGAAAAAGGGTCATTTCTAACAGGTCTCACTTAGCCCAGGCTGACCTCGAACTTGGCATGTGCCTGCCTGGTGTCCTCAGAGGCTGGAGGAGGATGGCAGATACCTTCGGGACTGGAGAGTGGGAGCCGCCCTGTATGTTCCGGGAATTGAACCCCGGTCCTCCCGCTGGTCTAGCTCTCCAGCCTCTGCCTCTGCCTCCCGGGCTCACAGGCTTGAGTCGCCATGCTGTTACTTGCATATTCTAGATAAGCCTTCTCCCAAGCGTGCTAAGTGATAGGAAAGACAGGTGCTGCAGCGAGACCCGCGCTGGGCCGGGCGCCCGGCCTGTACTAGCTCATGTCAACGTCACAGCCGGCCCCAGAGGGTTGGGGTCCCCGCCGTCACCGTCTTTGCGCTCGGACACAGAAGGCGAGGGTCCTGCCCGAGCCCGCTCCGCTGCCCCTTCCCAGCACTATGGCCTGCTGGCTGGCGCAAAACCTCTCTGAGGCCCTGCTCGCCCAAGCTCGTCCCCCAGGCGTGAAAATGTCCTGAGCCGGCTCGGACTCAGGATGTACCGGCGCCAGTCCCCGGCGTGGATCCCGGGCTACGAGCCCCCGAGGTGTCCCCAGGCGGCCACCTTTCGGCGCTACTCCGTGCCGGTGCTGCTGCCCTGGCTGCCCACGCCCGAGGTCCGCGGGGCACGGGGCGCGGCCGGCTCGGACTGGCAGGACCGCAAGCCCCAGCGCCTGTCCTCCGTGTCCCTGGGGACCCCGAGCGAGCTGCTGCTGCCACCCCTGAGGCAGACGAGCGGGGCCCGCGGGGCCAAGGCCGGGCGCACCCGGCAGCCAGCCGCCTGGGACGACCCTGACACCCTAAGCGGGCTGCTGGGGGACCTGCTGCCCAGCAACTTCCGCAACTTCCTGCATAGACTGCACACCAAGAGTGGGGAGCTGAATGCCCGCAGTGAGCCCGCGGGGGGGGGGGAGCGGGGGGAAGGGGGAGGAGCCTGGGGTCCCCTGCGAGCACCGTCCCCAGCTCCCTGGGCTGCCCTCCTTCTCCTCCTCCTCATTCTCCTCTTCCTCCTCTTCGGGCCTCCCAGCACCCTCAGTGCCACAGTACCCTAGGGGTACACTGAACCCCTGCCAGAGTTTTCAGTGTCCCAGCTGCTCCGTCCTCCCAGACCTGAGGTAAGCGGAGGGACCCTCTTGGGGTTGCCCTGGATGCTCCCAGGCTTGGGGCTCTGCTGACATCAGCTGTGGCCTCTTTGTCTCCAAGGGACCGATCGTTGTACTGGAACGGCAGTTTTAGACAGACACCTACCCTGGGATCCCTGAGAGGCGAAACCAGAAGAGCCAGCCGGTGAGTGGCAGCTGTCAGGGCTCACCGTGCCACAGTTGTGTGCGGTAGGCTTTCCCCTTCCACCTTCACGTGGGTTGGAGGGCTGGAGGGCTGGAGCAGGCGTCACCAGGCTTGCCTGTCAGTCCCCTCTACTCAGTGAGCCATTCTACCATTTCCTCCACCCGTGAGTCATGGGAATGGGAGCGGAAGAGAGCCCTTTACTCCCTTATTTCCAGCCATTCACTAATGCACTCAGGCTCAGCCATCCAGCCTTGCTCCTTACCCATGGACCAGGTCCTCTGCTGTGACTCTCTCCATCCATCTATCCACCGAGGCATCTGTTGCCCATGAATCCATAACTGCCCTCAGACAGCCGGACTGCCAGACAGCCAGTCTTCCATCTATTCACAGCCCCAGCCCCCACCCGACCCCCGTTATAGCTGCCAATTGCTGTACTTCATTCACTTATAAACCCAGGATGCCAGTCACCTCTCCCCTGGTAATAGAGCCACCATAGGCTTACACATCTGTCTGCGTGACCATCCAGCTACTCACCCCAGATGCAGTCTTTCAGTTCAGATCCTGCCATTAATCCACCCATTCTTGTACTCTCTCTTGTCCTACTCATTACCCATTGGTGATGTTTTACTATGTATCAAGTACTAGAGGAAAGACAATGAGAGATGGAAGCAAGAAAGCCCCCTGGCGTTAACCTGCACTAATGCTAACCTGGACTTGGATGCTACAGAGTGCTTAATGGAGAGGGAAAAGCACAGGTTTCAACAGGCTGGAGCCTGGGTGCATGGTGGAGAGCGCTGTCTGGGAGTCTAAAGACTAGAGAGTTGGGTGTGTGGTGCACACTTTTTAATCCCAGCACTCAGGAGGCAGCCCTGTGAGTCAGTGATTCCGGGACAGCCGAGGGCTGTGAGGTGAGACCCTTCCCAACAAACGAGTTCACCTAAGGAGGCAAGGACAGATGGAGCAGGGAATATGCAGAGGCTGCAGCATACTGTACTGTTCCATCCGTACCCGTGGAAAACAGTGCTAATGGGTCACTGGACATTCCTCTGTGAGCCTCGGAAACCTTCCTGACACATACTCTGGGGTCACAGTAGAGACTAGGCTGGAGAGACGCCTCAGTGGTTAAAAGCACTTGCCGCTCTTCCAAAGGACCCAGGTTCAGTTCCCAACACCCACATGGCAGTTCAACATGTAAATGTTGTAACACCAGCTCTAGGGGATCTGACACCCTAACACAGCTATATACGCAGAAAAACACAAATGCACATAAAATAAAAATAATTTTTTTTTTTTAAGTAGAGACTAGAGCTGAACACTTACTTGTATGTAACATTCCTTCGGTATGTCATATTGTCCCTGTGATCTTTCCCAGGGAGGCCATGATCCCACACCGGCAGGCAGACCTAGGAGCTGCCTAAGCCTGGCCCTGTGGCCAGAACAGAGCTGAGGCCTAACTAAGCCCCAACACCTAAAGCCAGGTTCTAGCCTCATCACCTCCCAGCTGAAGGCTCTTTGGTGAGAAACACACCCTCTGTGCCCACAAAAAAAGGTGGTGCAGGACAAGCGGGTACGGATGTGTAAATATGTGTGCCCGAGGCAGCGGTGAAATGGGAGCCTTTCCGAGGGATCAAGTGACCAGGCTGGCAGGGCAGCCCTGGAGGAAGAGATGAGCAGACCTAACATTTCTATCTATTACATGTAAACATAGCACGCCCTTCACCGAGAACAACAGTGCCCCATGATAGGCCCTGTTCTAGGTACCTCTCCACACGGGGTACGCCACAGTCCCATCGTCTCCCGTGACGGCAAAGGGATCACACATGACCAGAAGGAAAACACTGAGAAGCGGAGCGTTGACTACCCTGTGCCCCAGCTCACTCGACCTTCTTGGTGGCATAACGGAGACCGGCAGTTTCTCACAGCAGCCTGAAGCTCCTCTGCCCAGCATGCCCTCGGCAGGGTGTTCTTGCAGTGCGCCCCATCCCTTCACGCCCGTGCTGAGGAAGGGGTGGGGCGCGTGATTTCACTCTTTATCTACTCGTTTTATTTTCATCCTTTATCTGCTCATTTGTCGATCTGTAGCACAGGCTGGCCTTACACTCACTATGTAGCCAAGGATGACCTCGAACTCCTGATCCTTTTGCTTCCAGCTCAGAAGTGTCCTATGTGTCTCACTGTGCCTGGCTTAATGATCTCCATTTCACAGATGAGCCAGGTTTCCATGTATCAGGACCTCTTGATTCCTGAGCACAAAATCATACCCTCTAGCCTGATGGGCCTTTTTGTTTGTTTGCTTTTTTTTTTTTTTTTTTTTTTTTTTAAGATTTACTTATTACATATACAATGTTCTACCTGCATGTGTACCTCTATGCCAGAAGAGGGCACCAGATCTCATTACAGATGGCTGTGAGCCACCATGCAGTGGCTCGGAATTGAACTCAGGACCTTTGGAAGAATAGTCAGTGCTCTTAACCTCTGAGCTATCTCTCCAGCCCCTAGCCTGATGTTTGAGTGACAGCTATGGGCCAGACATCTCTGGGCCTCAGTTTCCTTCCTTGTAAATAAGAAGAGTAAGGGGGCTGGAGGGTAAGAGCACTGGCTGTTCTTCTAGACATCCTGAGTTCAATTCCCAGCAACCACATGGTGGCTCATAACCATCTATAATGAGATCTGGTATGCAGGCAGAATGCCATATAAATAATAAATCTTTAAAAAAAAGAGTAACAGAGCTTCACAAGCACTGTGCAGGTTTGGTGGGGTAAAGCAGGTCACACAATGAGCCAGGACAAGCACTTGGAAAAGGCCAACTGATGTGACTAGAATAGCCCTGCCAACAACCAAAATCTTTCAAAGATTTTTATTTCATTTATGTGTGTGTGTTGCTGGGGGGCAGGAGGGGGGGAGTGGGGACAGGAGGGGGGGAGTGTGTATGTACACAAGAGTCTTAGAGCCTGCCAAAGCCAGAAGAGGGCCTCAGATTACCCCTGGAGTTGATGTGGTTGTGAGCCAACAATGTGGTTGCTAGAGTCAGATTCAGGTCATCTGCAAGAGCAGTAATGCACAGCTCTCTAGGCCTGTCCACGATTGTGCTAGGAGCCCAACTTCTCTGCAGGCTCACCTCCCTCAGCAGACTCCACAGCACGCAGGTGAAGTGAAGAATGTTCTCCTTCACAGCCCCTCTGGAGAAGGTTCGAGGCCCCACAGACGCTACTGTCCCTTCCGGGTACGATTTGCAGACGAGACCCTACAGGACACGGCACTCCGATACTGGGAGCGCAACCGTGCAGGTGAGCTGGCAGCTCCGTCTAGACCCCCGAGATTCCAGAAAATTCCAGCCAGGAGTGCCGAGGTCACGTGCTGTGCCTCTGGATCCTCAGAGAATGGGGTAGGACATTACTCTACAGAGGAAGTACCTGTACTGGCCTTCTCAGAAGATGTCATGATAACCTTCAAGGATCTTGTAGGGGCCCTGAGAGCCAGCAGAGGGGGTGGCATCAGGCAGGTGGTGGGAAAGGGTAGCTGCATTGGTGACCCAGGTAGCAATGGCTGCCCAGGTCTTGCTGTCATTAAAGAGCCCTTCCTTGTCACCGGCTTACATGGCTTCTCTCAGAAGCCTCCTAAAACACCTTCCTCATGGATTCTTGAAAGTAGTCCCCGGGGTCAGGCTGACGGGATGTCCAGCAGGTCCTAGAAAAGAAAATATCTTCAGTCTTGAAAACTGCTGCAAGGGTCCAAGAGAAAAACTCAGAACCCGGGCGGATGTGTGCACTCAGCTCTTGGGATGGATGTCTAGTGATGGCTCTAGTGATGGCCGCCTGGTGGTACTCTCCTTTGACTTTCCCGAATGGGTGCTGGGAGGCAGGAAGGACAATGAGGAAGATAAGAGGTGACCATCATCACACAAACGTCCTCTCTGGTACCCTGCCTCTCTCCTCAGGACTCAGTGGCCCCCCACATCTCCCCTTAACACACTCACGAATCAGAGAAGCCCAACTTCTGGTTATATTTTGTGCATGCATATGCTTCAGAATATGATTTCAGCTAATAGATTTAAGAGCTCTTGTGCCTAGGAGTAGCAATGTTAATTTATTGTTGTCTTTTTGAGACAGGGTCTTAGGTAGCCCAGGCTGACCTACAATGCACCATGTAGCCAAGGATGACCCTGAGATACTGATCCTCCTGCCTCCATCTCCCAGCTGCTAGGATTACAGGCCTGTACGGCTCACCCCACCTTCTAGTTATTTGATTGATGAGAAAATTGAGGCAAAGTATGGTTGTGTGAGAGCTATGGAAGCCTAGGATAGAGGTCAGAATGTTCCAGAAATCCAAGCACTGTGGCCATACCCCATCAGCTTTTCCTGTCCTAGGCAGCCTCTGCGAATGTCAGGGTCTAGGATAAGTGCCTAGCCCTGAGAGACCTCTCCCACCGACCTTTGCTGATTCTTGGCAACCTTTCTGGAATTTCCATGGTGTGATGCCTGGTCCTCCCACTTTAGAAAAGAAGAGGCCCCCTGAGGGTTGGAGCAGGAGTAGGGCCATGGCAGAGCACAGCTTGGTGATAACAGCAGAAGCAGTGTGTGTGTGTTTGGTGATGGGGGGAGGTTAGTTTTAAAACCCAGGACTTCTCTGGAGGCAACTGGAAGGCATTGGGGAGCCTGTGGTTGCCATGGAGACAGGGCTCTGTCTAGCCTTGCCAGTCAGAGGGAGAAGAGAGAGTGGGGGCATCAAGTGTGCCCTTCCCCAGGGGGAGGGGACAGGGAAACTCACTCTGCTCTCTCTCTCTTCTAGTCCGGCAGAGTCCCTTTCCACGCGAGCAGGAGCCCTTGCCAGCTGTGTCTGTGTCAGAGCGGGTGCTTGGGAATGTTGGGAGATGGCTGGACGGTCTGCCCACAGCCCTGCATCCCCGGGCCCAAGACACTGTGGCTGGCTCCTCATGGAACTACCACCAAGCGTGAGCCTCTGGGTAGAGGAAGCAGGAGGGTTATGCTCCAGGCCCTCTAAGTACAAGTTGTAGGTAGGTCTGAAGCTCAGGGTCAGAGAGCCATTGGCTCCTGTCTCCCCATCAGGTCACCTCAGGAATCACGGTTCTACTTTTCTGAGAATGACACCAGGAGCAGCCGCCTACCCTACTTCTCCAGGGTCACCACCCCAAGGCCACGGAGAAACCTCCAAACCTTCCTGAATACCCCTAACACTGTGGAGCAGGTGGGCAAATTTTCCTGTCCTTGGAACCAGAAGCTGGCCAGCAGCCCAGGGCAGCTAGCCACCAGAAGCAGCAGCCCTTCACGACTCTGTTGGGGACCTTCTCTGTTGAGTCACCATGGGGCTTATGGCTTGGGCTTCCCTCACTGTGGGGCCCTGCAGGCAAAGGGGAGAAGGTGCCTGGCTGCTGGGTTCAGCTGCTAGTGAGTGGGTGGGCCGCACCTCAGCCTAGGCCAGCTGCGGTGCAGAACCATCTGGGCCTGGGGGGACCCGTCACCTCTCACCCTCTCACCTGGGCCCCTCAGCAGTGCCCAGCTGGGCATCCTTCTCACTCTAGGAGTCCTCTCTGCCCAGCCTGGTGTTGCAGTCCATCCTGAAGCAAGGCCATCCTAAGGGCTACCAGCTCCTCCTGCCGTCCACACACCGGTGGCAGGCTCAGAGATGAACAGTCTGCCTGAGCTCCACCCCAACCCCACCCTGGAAGGTACCCAGGCCAGGCAATGAGAAGAACATGCCCTCTCCCCACAAATAAACTCTCATCCCAGGTGGCTGGGATGGATCATGGATGGGACCAGCCACTTTGGGTGCCTGATTTGGGACCACTTGGGGTTCCCTGGTGGGGGAGATCGGGGTGGAGTCACAGCAGGGATGAGGCTGGTGAGAGAGAGCAAGGTATTGGTGGTAGGGAGATGGGGCATCCTAGGGGCTTGTCCCAGGGAATGCTTTCCTGGGTGTCCGATCAACTCACCACAAACTTCAGATCTAGACCAATCACGCTGGAAGCCGACCCCCAGTCATTACGTTAGCCTGGGAGAGAGCAGAAACAACTCTTTCTTGTCTCTAGCGCCCGGGGCATCTCTGCCCACCTTCTGGTAGAATGTGAGGGCATCCAGACCCCAGTACAGGGAAAAGAGCCCTGTGTCTGGGCAAACTTGAGCCCCTCAGCCTGATGCAGTGTTCAAATCCACATGGGGAAGTGGCCTGAGACAAGATAACAGGTACCTCCTGGAGTCTATGTACCGCGCTAACCTAGCCACCTCCATACACCTGGGTGCCTTCACAGTCATGTCACAACCTCTGGGGACAGCCTGGCAGCCAGCCCTCTTTTTGGAGTTTGGCCTTGTCCTTGCTCGCTGGCCAGGTCTTTATCGCCACCTGCTGGCCCGAGCAGAAATAGCTCGGATAGGCTTGAAGCTGAAGCGGGCTCTAACAGGAAAAACCCGAGCCTAAAGCTGTGGGTTTGGGCTGTACTGAGCAGATGATCTTAGGGACACAAGGGCTGGGGAGAGTGAAGGGCTGAAAAAAGGAAGATCTGGACCCGGCTTGCGGCGCGATGAGGCAACATCCCCACCAATGGGATGGACCGGGGCTTGATCCCTTTCTGAGCGGCTTTCGCATGCGACCCAGAAGGGGGCTCCATGTTTTCTCTGAGTGCTGTGCGCGTGGGTGCCGGTTCTGCCTCGGTTTCCCCGACAGCCTGCAGCCCCGCACTGCGCCGCGCGGGGGCAGTGTTGGCCTGGCTTTGCACCGCGAAACTTCAGCTCTCTCCTTGTTTTCCGAAACTTTCCCTCACGCAGTGCTTCACCGTGGATCCCCGAGTCCTGGGTTCACAGCGCGGGACTGTGGGGAGCCCTGCCTCTAACCTGCGACCGGGGACGGGGCCATCGCGGGGAGGCCCACGCAGGGGAGAGGAACTTGGATGTTTAAGTAGGTCACAGCAAGTAGCACACAGCACGCGCGCGCGCGCGCGCGCGCACACACACACACACACACACACACACACACACACACTACACACTACATACACTCCAAAGACCCCTCACAGAAGGAGGACACTTCAGGCACACAAGCAAACACACTATACCACAGCAATAGAGACCCCACACACATAGAAAACCATACCACAGGTATTCACAACAGACACAACCCAGTTATACAACACACACTAAGCACATACCACATTCAGACCCACACACGAGGAGAAGCACACACTACACACACACACAGACAACTACATGTTTACTCCACATACATGGAGACACCCCACAGACACATATGGACATGCAGAGGCACATACACATGGAGAAACCAGACACAAAGAGGCACTCCCACGCCTGCCACATAAAGACACACACACACGGAGGGCGATGCACACGACTGGCAGGCGTGTCACACGCAACCCCTCCCCCCAGCACACTGACACATCTGACCATACAAACTGCACGCAGACACCACACCCTCCTCCCACATGGAGAGACAGGCATGCATACCCCAGAGACGACGCACACACAGAGAGCCCATTCCACACACAAGCGATAACACACTTCAGAGTGTGTGTTGCACCCCGAAGCATGAAGCATGGACCTGCGGCGCCCTAGGGTCCTACGGCCCACAGAGGTGTTACCTCCCCACAGCCATGACATAGCAGCTCATGTGGAGCCTGAACTTAGGTGACCAAGAAGGGGCTGGGAGCGCTGAGGCAGGGGGAAGACCCCTTTCAGATGACCTAGGTCCTTCCTCCTGCTTGGGAGTGATGCCATTCCCCCTCCCAGAGTCCTCACAGGCCTGTCTGTCTGTTTTGTTTTTTTGTGGAACAGGGCCCTTACTGTGTAGCTTTGGCTGGTCTGTGGCTTGCATTATAGAGCAGGCTGGCCTGGAACTCAGAGATCTGCCTGCCTTTGGCCACCTCAGTGCTAGGATTAAAGTGTGTGCCACCGTGCCTACCAAGCCCCATGAGGCCTTTGACGGGTGGCCCCAGGCTCAGCCTCTGGGGAGGACAGGGAAAATGCTGTTTCCAGGGCCTGCTTCCCCCGGTAGAGCAGTGGCTGCGGTGACTATATGGCCTGTGCTTTGGGGCCAAGCTGCTGCTCTCACCCTGCAAAGCCTCTCCCTCTTTCTCACCCTGTTCCTGATCACCACCACAGGCCATTCCTTGGACCAAACCAAGTAAAGGCAGGGGAGCTAGGCCTGGAGGGGGGAGCTATCCAGACAGGATGTTCTGCTCCTTTCTCTGGAATGTTCCCAGCCTTGTGAGCCTCTGCACCCTCGGGGTGGTTTGGCAGCCCTAAAAGTGAGGGGTGCTGCTTTTGCAGAGCCATGTGTGAGGAGCTGGGTCCGGTCCCCACGGCGTGGGCAGGAGCCATGGCCCAGTGCCTGAGAGCACTTGCTGCTCAGCAGAAATACTGGGTTTCATTTCCAGCACCTACATCTGGCAGTTCACGACTGCCTATAACTGCAACTCTTCTGGGCCTCTCACTTCACACATTCATTCACATGTTCATATGCACGCACACACACATATACACACAATATTTTTAAAGATTTATTATTTATACAACATCCTGCCTGCACACCAGATCTTACTATAGATGGTTGTGAGCCACCATGTGGGAATTGAACTCAGGACCTTTGGAAGAACTGCAAGTGTTCTTAGCCTCTGAGTCATCTCTCCAGCCCCACACAATTTTTTTTTTTAATTTTTTTTTTTTTTTTCTGAGATAATGTCTTACTACGTAGCCCTGGATGTCTGGAACTCACAAAGATCCTCCTGCCTCTGCCTCTTAAGTGCTGGGATTAAAGGCATAAGCCACCATGCCCAGCCCTAAAAATAAACCTAACAGGGAGTGTGTGTGTGTGTGTTGGAGGGGGTGGAATTCATGGCACATGGCTTTAATCTCAGCACTTGAGAAGTAGAGGCAGGAGAATCTTGGATTTTGAGGCCAGCCTGGTGGTCTACAAAGTTTATGTAATCCTGAGCACCCCAAGACCAGGGAGACAGCTTGACTCACCCACAGTTTTCTGCAGCCTGTCAGGCCTCAGCCTTACACCGCTTTCTTCAGAAGCCATGCTCAGAAGAGCCCTTCCCAGGGAAACTGAGGTCCAGAGGAGGTCTGGTCCATCCTCAGGTCACAGTGTTATTCTGCTTGGAGGCTGCACCCTGGAGCAGAGAGGCTCTGAAGGTCCAGTGGGAGAGGGGACTTGGCAGGATGGCCTGGGAAGGAAGGGCTGACATCAGGAAGGTGTGGATTTGTGGGTATGGACCCTCTGAAGGTTCCCTGGAGGCCAGGCAACCCTCACGGAAAGTGGCAAATCCAGACAGGCCTCCGGGAGAGGGTTCCCCAGCGAAACCAGCCCTACTGGCACTCCAGGGCCACCAGCCATCATTCTACCAGTAATTCCAGGAGGACTAAGATCTTGTGTCTTCTAAGCTCCTGTGGAGACCTCAGTTGGACCTGCTGGTACTGTGAGTGGGGGATGGTTACCGATCAAGTGCCCCATGGGAGAGGCCCCAGGGCCCCATATTGGTGGTGGAAGGTGAGGGATCCCAGGATAGAGAGATGGCTCAGCACTTAAAAACATTGGCTGTTTTGACAAAGGACCAGAGTTTGGTTCCTAGTGTCTTCATGGCGGCTCACAACTGTCTGTAACCTTAGTTTCAGGGCATCAGATGCCTTTTTCTGCCCTCCATAGGCAGCAGGCACGCACGCGGCACGCACACATGCACACAGTGTGTTGCGCATACATAAAGGCATAACACCCATACACACAAAGCAAATGTGAGTAGGAATGGGACAAGGAGCGGCCTACAAGCCAGCAGAGACTGCCACAGTCCCTGGCTCCGTGGCCCATGGCCTTGAACTTTGGTCTGCAGACACTGAAAGCATTTCTGCTGAGCACGGGGTTGTTATTGCTTGTCTCTCGATAGACCAAGACTGAGCATCCAGCATAGGCCACACGTGCCGCCCAGCCCCTGAGCTCACGGTGGGCACTAAGCTAGCCAGCGCTGCCTTCAGGAGCGTGTGGTCCAGTGGAGGTTCTCGGGGAGCCTGTAGGGGTGGGGCCTTGACAAGCTGGCCTGAGAACAGAGGACTGACCAAGCTCAGGCTAGCCTGGAACTCTTGAAAATCCTCGTTGCCCCAGCATCCCTAGTTACTGGGATTACAGACATGAACCACACCAAACTTGTTTCCCCAGTCTAGAAGAGCCTAGCAGTTGTTTCCATGATGTCAGAGCAACGAGGAGCCAGCTGCTAAGATAGACCCGGAGCTCCCTTCTGGTGCAAAAGCAGCAAGGAACCCTGAGGACCAGGGCGTGCCTGTGTCTGCAGACAGACCCAGGACCCTTCCACACGAGCAAGCCTACGCTTGAGAGAGTGAGACTTGGGGAAGCAGGCGGTCTATGTAAAGAAACCCCGGGCATGCCGGGCAGCGGTCGCACACAGCTTTGATCCCAACACTCGGGAGGCAGAGGCAGCCTGGTCTACAGAGTGAGTACCAGGACAGCCAGGGCAACACAGAGAAAGCCTGTCTCGAAAAAAACAAAAACAGAAAGGAAGGAAGGAAAGAAAGGAGAGAGGGAGAGAGAGAGAAAGAAGAAAAAACCCGGCACAGGTTAAGTAACTGGAGGAGGGTTACACAGCTGAGTCCCAGGGAGAGGAGCTGCCTTCTCTGGCTTCTTCCCTCCCCAGAACCAGCCCGGAGGACAAGGCCTTTTTTTTTTTTTTTTCCCCTCCGGCACCCCGCTGGCCTTCCTGGCAAGC